ATCATTGTAAAATCTGTATTAGAAGCAGTGGCTTCTATTAAAATGATACAATGTAAAAGGGGATGCGGCTTAGAGCATCAACACATATGAAAAATGGTTAAGAATTGGTTCCCAATTGCTTAAAAATACTGGGTGCAAATTCTAATAAAGATTTAACTGTTCTGCATACCATCAAAACAACCAGAACAAATTTTTCCTTGCATGCATCTTGAGATGCTACTAGAAAAGAAAAACAGTACTCAAGTTGAAAATAAAGTTATAATAAGCATTTTAACAACTCCACTTACTAGTATTAGAACAGCCATCATATATTAGTGTCTGTCTCAACAAAAATCGTTGCTTATTGTCAATTGAGGGCGCTGTTGCGATGTATACCAGTGTACTTCAGGTGTCAAACCACCAATTACATAAATTTACATTCGGTAGATGACAATGTTAGTGCTTTAATGTATTTCTACAAAAAAAACAAGCAGCCTGTCGGCTGAGATGGCTCTGCTGTTAGCAATGCACATTTCAATTAGAGTATTGAAGATATCACGAAATGAAGAAATCCAAGATTAGCCCACCTGAGGTATATATGTACAATATCAAAGCAATCAGACTTGTCGTTTTTAACAAGAAGTCAAAACTACTAATATCACTTTTTACCAAAAATATTCATTGAAGATATCATTATGAAATGAACAAATATGATATTGGTCTACCTGAGACACGTATATGGATAATATCAATGTGATTGAACGCCAATGGACAATCACTAATACGATAAGCTCTACTCCACTCGCACACATCAGACATGTGCACATGCATTTGTTTCATGATCTAATTCAAGATGGCCGAGTGGTAGTCATTTTAAGGCCAAAAATTCATCAAAATCACACATTTTCACCATTCTCAAACCAGATTTCATTCAGACAGACGCACGTTAGATTTTTGGGTTGGGATCAAAATGACCTACTGGCAGACATTTTATTTCAAAGAATGCAGTTTCAGATTCATATATCCGACATGCTTGGACCGCTCAAGTTCAAACTTTACACATACATCAGAATTAATTCAGACATGTACACATGCTTTTTTTTAATATGATCAAGATGGCCAAACATGCAACCGCATCTCAGTTGTGCATGGACAGATTCTGTTCAAACTTAGTACACACCTTGAAAGTGATGGGACCTTGATGCACTCCATTTTATTTTTCAGATTGGGTTCAAAATGATTGACTAACAGACATTTTGTTTTAAAGAATTCAGTTCCAGATCCATGTATTTGACATGCCTGGACTGATCAAGTTCAAACTTCACACATACATCAGATGAGACAAACAACACATTTTTGTCACCATCAAATCCAAAATGGCTGAATGGTGGTCATCTTGTATAAATCACTGTCCTTGAATGAATCAATGCAGGTCCACAAAGCCTCATCTCAAACGTGCCTGCACCCATCAAATTTAAATTTTACACATACCGGTACTGTTTGATAAATCTATTGTTTATTATAAAGTGTATGGTACAGTAACATATTTTAATTTGCTACATGAATCTAAAAAAAGTAGATCATTCATAACGTTATCTTCTACCTGTTTGCTGAAGTGTTTAACATAAATAAGTATTTTATGCAGACATATATACATAATTGTCTTTGTTACGTGTCAACATTCAAATACAAATCAGCCGTAGGTTTCACAGGTCACTTCACCACATTACCAACAATGACAGTCACTTGTATAAGGTGCTTTGTGGGGAAAAAAATCCACTGTTCTCTTGAGATTTGGCCATCGAATCATCCCAAATTGACTATACATTACAGTTTGCCAAATATTATACAATATCACGGATACAGTGTCCCACATTTACCATCCGTCTCCAAATAACTGCTGTTTATATTTTGGAATGCATATTAAATATGAATTCAGCGTCATAACAAAGCAAGCGTTTATGGTGACATATGCTCATATCATCCAGGGAGGCGAGTCTGTTTCACCATCTGTTACTAAATCCATATCAACCTGCAAAGCAAATAACACAGTACAGATAAGGAACAGTCTGGATTTGGAAGTTAAATTTAACAGATATTGTTGCATTTATATCATTACATGATAATACTTCAGTACAGCAATATTTTCCAGGATTGAAAAACCTTTATTTAGGACATGTCAAATGATTGAACTAATGATTGTTCTAGCATTCTCCACGGAGGCCTACATTCACATATACTTTCAGAATTGCAAATAACAAAAACTGTTATGCTAATCATATGCAAATGAGATCAGTTGTCTAATTTAGTTAGTGAAGAACAATGCTCTGTACTGGAATACTTGTTGTTCAAAAATGTTTTTAGAATTAGTTAGATTGAAATAACGTGCACAAGGGTGACATTAGCAATTCATATAAATGGGTAAATAAATTGAAAGGGGAATGTATCTTCTATTGATATTATACATGTTTCTCAGGATTAATCTGATATTCGTTTGACCCAGCCAGTTCAAATCAGATAACGATCTTGAGACCCACACAGCTAACCAGTCAAAAGCTGTTTTCGTGTTTGGAACAATATGGCGCTGACAGTAATACTTACATCTTCTGGTGAGTCTTGATCATAATCATTAATTTCATCTCCGTCTAAATCATCAGCATCATCTTCTGAATCCTCTTCACTATCTTCCTCTTCTTCATCTTCATCATCGTCATCCTCGTCGTCATCCTCAAATGTCTGCAAACATTAAACATCCAAGTGTTTCCACAACATGAAAAGCATACTCAGGTTGGTACAATGTAACACTAACTGTCTAACTGTTATAGTGCAGAAGTTGAAAATAAAATATTACTTTTATTATGTACATTACCGGTAATAACTTACCTCAGAGGTTTTGCCTATTGGTATTAAATCACGGTTCATTTCTGATATACTTTGAAGCTTAAAACAAAGAAATGATACTGTTAGTGAATATTTAAGTTAATTCAACGTGTTCTCCAAGTGTAGGAATAACCTAGTGAAACCTTGGAAACCGTCAAACGCCTTATTTATTTTTTTACTCAATAATCGGCATGAAACTCATAGTCGCCATCTTTGTTCGTATGTGACCCATGTAAAATTGACTGGTCGTGACTACTATGACGCCATGTTGAAGACTGATGCTATTTATTCAAGACTTATCAATGACGTAATATAGATTAACAAATGAGCATCGGTACAAGCATGAATACATACATTACACCTTCCCTTCTGAGCTTGTTTTTTTTTCATTACAGTAGTAGTACATGTTTAGAAAAATGATTTCCATTCAGTTCTTAGTGCGTACTGTTCTCACATTAATGTCAACATAGTTATCAAATCGTTTCACAAAACATTATTAAGTAATGAAAACTATAAACACTATTTAGGTAACAACATACAAAACTGTTATCATATCCAAAATCTTTACGGCATCAAATATCGAACAACACAACTCAAATCAACTGGTATCATTTCTACAAATCTAGCTTACGAGGTGGTTTGCTGAGTCTACCCGATCTAGTGAAAACTTGTTTAGTTTCCGTTGTGTTAGTGGTAGGTTTCAACTCTGAATTATCATAGTT